GTACATCCAATACAGCTACCAGTAACAATTCACTTGCCTGCTCTATTCCTCAGTTTTTTCTTCTGCAAAGATAAAGAATCAAATGACTGCTGATTGGGGTTAAATCAAATGATTCCTAAGAGACTGCGGGGCTCTGAAGTTCTAAGTGTGTGGGCCAGGCCTTCCAGGAAACGAGAACCTATCAGAAGAGAAGAATTGGATTGTATATTCCTGAGTGTTTTTGTGTACATCCCCTCGCCCCCTCCAAAAAAAAGAGAGAGAATGGACACAAATACTGTTGAATGATGATGCACGGAGGAGATTGTAACCATTGCAGTGAAATGATGGTGTAAAACCAATGTTCTCCCATGTAAACTATCACTCAGTTCACAGTAAAAACTTAAAAAAAGAGAGAGAGAATGGAGTTCGGCCTACCAGTCATGTCAACACTAGATGTGAAGTGGGAAGCACCAGACAGGGAAGATGGGGAGGAGAGTACCCAGAGAGTACTTCCACTAAGGGTGGCGTAGAAAACCAATAAGAGAAGTAATAGAGATGATGGGGCATTGTCTCTCACTTGGCAAAGGAAACAACGTGAAGGAAGATGTTAAGCGCCGTCCAGTTGGTTCTGACTCATAGTGACCTTGTATAGGGTTTTCTAGGAGCCACTGGTGAGTTTGAACTGCTGACCTTGTGGTTCAAACCGATCTTGTGACCAGTGCTTTTCCTTCAGTGCCACACCAGGTATTTCAGGCCTGAGACTAGTCTAGGCAAGAAGGTCCATGATGGGGGGACAGAGGAGCCCACACTGAAGGTAGAATGGTCTGATTTGTGGAGAGCCATGAATATTATGGTATTGTCGGGGTTTTTATATATGCTATATCTTTCATTATTACTTTGATAATGAGGTTGGACGCTGCATTTTGCATTTCTATTATCTGAGGTAGAAAGTATTGCTAAACAAATTAATAATATGAGCCAGATATCTAATACAGTGATCGATTGCTAGTTCTTCATCTGGGTCTAGGATTCAGAAATCGAATGATTTACCAGAGTCACAATTCAGGGGACATCTTTTCCTTCAAACTGCTTCACATTGGCAGCATACTGTTAAAATGATTATGTGTTAGAGTTCTGTCTGGCAGGATTGTACGAAATTCTAGCTTCTCTTACAGTATGAAGGAGCCCTGTTAATGTTGTGGATTACAAGCTGAGCTGCTAACCATAATGTCAGCAGTTCGAAGCTACCAGTCACTCCATGAGAGAAATATGAGGCATTCTGCTCCCATAAAGATTTACACTCTCGGAAACCCTTTACAGGGTTGCTATGAATTGGAACCAACTCCACGACACCCCCCCACCACCACCACTACTATTATAGTATAAACTTGTAAATTGGAAACACTTACTCTTCTTTCAACTTTTTTGTGTCCATTAAAACACCTTAGTTAGTTAGTTAGTTAGTTAGTTGGGTCTTTATGTGCTTTTATATAAATGACACATCAGAGGTGATTTGGACGTTCCCTGGTAGTAATTATCTGACTTAAAGCCTGGTTATATGTGAGCTGGAGACTCACTGCTTAACTCCAGCCTTCAGATGGTCCTCCACCTCTATGAGTCTGACCCCCTTCTTACCTCTGCAAGGCTAGGTGCCCAGGGGACCCCAAGCTAGGTGCCATACTATAGGGAGTAACTCAACACTGAACTTTCCTCCAGCAGGTGATGGCTTGGTTCTTGTCTGCTTTGTCTATTTAATTGGTTTGTGTGGTGTTTTATAGCCTGTCTTAGCATTGCTGTTAGCACTGATTTGATGGGAAAGTGCTTGTCAAGTGTCAGACCAACACTGGGGCCTAAGCCTCTTATGCTTTGAGAACCATGGGTACTTAACATGGAGCCTGATGATACTGGCTTTCAAGGCCCGGCCCCTCTCCTCCAATTGTCTCCCTCCCTCAGTTTCTCTCCCAGGTGTCCTAACTCAGCTTCACCCAGGCCACAGGGAGTGGAAATCAAGCTGGATATAGGAGGGGGACGTTGTCTGGCTTTGACTTCCAGTTTTGCTGCTGAATGACTTCAGACTTGAGTTCCCAGAGTGACTGTAAATGGAAATTGTACATTTATATGTGCATAGGAATCTACAGACTCTAGATGTGCTATTGTTAAATGCCATTGAGTAGGTTCTGACTCATAGTGACCCGTATAGGGATCCAAGGAGTAGTTGGTGGATATGAACTGCCACCTTGTGTTTCTCAGTCCAGTGCTGATCCTAAGCACCACATGGGAGTCCCTAAATGGGCTAGAGCTTCTCAAAATGTGAGCTATTCTAAGAGTTTATTAGTGTTTCTAAGATTTGTGTTGAATTTTATCCAAATTTATAAACATGAACATTTCTACTTTTATGTATATTTACTAGAATAGTAAATACACAAAGGTTTTTGGTTTTGTGATCCACCAGGTTTTTACTTTTTTATTTTTATGCGTTTATGGTGGTTATTGTAAAGGAATATAAGGTTTTGATTGAAAAAGTGGAGACATTTTAAAAATTAAATCTGAAGACATTTTAAAATATCACCTGCTCCCCCGATATCCCCTGGGAGAAGAGGAAGAGCTGAACCCTTGTGGTTAGGGCAGCCTGACAACCATGCAGTTAGTTGGGGCAGCTCTTTCCCTTACTGTAGAGAAAATGGGGCTCTCCTACTTTATCTCCAGTGGCACATTTATGGTAAGGGTCTGCAGTCTCTTTTTGTTCCTGTCTCTGAACAAACCACCAACTTGAGTGCCAGATGCCTGCAGTTCAGTTTCCACTCTAACACTTGGGTAAGTTGTTTAGCTTCTGATGCCTGTTTCCTCACCTGTAAAATAGAGATGATGTTAGGAGCTGTCTCAGAGTATTGTAGGGTTAGAGGAAACAATAATGGAAGTGAAGGACTTGGCACTGTATCAGACGAATGGTGGTTGGTGGTGGTGTGCTGTGGAGTTGGTGCTGACTCATAGCCACCTTGCATAGGGTTTCCAAGGCTGTAAATCTTTACAGGAGCAGAAAACCTCATCTTTCTCTCTCGGAACAGCTGGTAGTTTCAAACTGCTGACCCTGAGGTTAGCAGCCCGATTCGTAACCACTATGCTACCAGAGCTCATATAAGCACTCAGTAAACGCTGGGTGGTATTATCCAACTTTTCCCCTGTTTACTCTAAAATTTGGGACATATTTAAACAATGTATATATTCTGGGGCCTCTCATCCTCACAGAAATGTAGAAACTTTGGATAAAGTTAAAACTAGTAATGAAATCAGGTTTAAAATATAACCTGTATGCTAAAATTTCTAAACAACCCTAATTTTATTTACAAAGGAAACACAGGTCCATAGATGACGTAATTTATCATTCTTATAAAGGTGCAAAATTGTGTGTAACATTTGACAATTCAGTTCTTTCCCTCAACCCCCAGAAATAGAGTGACAGGTTCGGGCTTAAACTTGATCGGTTAGGACTTGTTAGACAAAAAAGTAGCTGCCGGAATGGGGAGCTGGAGAAGGTTGTGTTGGTTTCTTCCCTTAAACCCCTTCACTGGGATGAAGGATCACTTCTCCCATAGGGTTGGAATACAACTCTCCACTAATCACTTCAAACAGGTTTGCCAGAACCTGGCCATTACCACTGTCAAGTGTCTTCTGAAGTTGCTATGCTTCCATTTATTGTTTGGTGTGAGTAAAATGTATCCCAAAATACTCCCTCCTTGTCCCCTCCCTAGCCTCTACTCCCAATTCCATATGTGCATAAATACACAGGTGTGTTCCAGCATCATAGAATGCTCCTCAAAAGCAAGGATGGTGAGATGTTGGCTCATGTACTGTGGACATATCAGGAAAGAAGAGGACGACTCCATGTTTACCCAAGTTAGAGGGTCAGCGAAAATGAGGGAAACCTGCAGTGACGTGGATTGATACAATAGCCACAAGAATGGACTCATGAAGATGGCATAGGTCACCATGAGTCGCTAACAACACAATATGTAAAGGGAACTTTGTGGGGATGGAGGACTCTGAATGCCTTAGCTTAATGAAGGAAGTAGACTTGCCTATCACTCTCCTCTGACTCCTCAGCCCCTGAATAATAGCCCTGGGTGACGATTGTTCAAGCCACTGTGTACAGTTGTGTGGGCTGTACACTACACGAGGGTACTGGGCAAGGGGCACGTGGGGGCTAAAGGTCTACTAGAGTCAAGGTTGCCAAATTGTGAACCTGGTACAGAAGTGTGCCTGCCTAGAGGAAGGGGCATCTTTTTCTGATTTGCACAAAGGCCAGTGGCTGGCAGTGATGTCTGATCTGACCCTTCCCTTCACTCCTGTCCCCTATAGCAGCCTCTGTTGCTGCTGAGTTCTTTGGAGACCATCTTCCACAGCCATAACTTTCAGGAACCCAGAGAAACAAACAAGGGAGGAAGTGTCGGCATAATAGATTGTCAGTGACATTATTTCAGTCACTGTGCAGTGCCCTCCGTGGGCAGGCACAGTGCTGAGAGCTGGAGATACACATCTGGGCCGAAAACATGGCACTTGCTACAAGGGCCCTGTGTGTCCTGGCAGCATGGAGGAGGTGTCCCCAACATGCTGGAGGGACAGGTCAGGGGAAGCTTCCCTAGCGGAGTTGAGCCTGCATAGGCCTTTCCAGGACACCTGAGAGCTGGCCAGCTGTGCCTCTCCTGAAGTGCTCCCTACTCTACCAGTGGAGCCTGGAGCGAAAATAAATCACTGTGCTAGGAAGAGGACTGCTGTCAGTGGCTCAGTAAGTCTGCAAGGAATCTGACCGCTCCATCCGGCTGCTTACACTGGGCAGGTAAATCCATCAGTCTGTAGATATATTTACAGAAGAGTAGAATGCCAGTCACACTCCCTATCTAAAGGATTCTATTTCTTCCATTTTGAATGATTGTGTTAAACCATGCTAACCCCAGGAAGCTTTCTGGCCTCTTGACTGAGTTTTGTAGTATGCTCAGCTTTTCTTTGCTTTTCTCCTCCACCAGGTACTTGCTAGAGCAAGATTTCCCAGGCATGCGGATTGGCCCAGAGCCCACCACTGACTCCTTCATCGCTGTGATGTATGGGGAGACTGAGGGCAGCACCCCGGGAAATGCATTGGTCGTGGACCCCAAAAAACCATTCCGAAAACTTAGTCGCTTTGGAAATGCTTTCCTGAATCGGTAAGGACCAGCAAACTGTCTTTGGTCAGGTTGTTTAAACTTTTTTCATTGAATTATTGCGAATTATATGTTAAGGTTGAAAACCAGAAGAAGAGAGCATGTCTGTTGTAGAAAAGAGACAGGTTATAGGGAATGTGTTTGTACTCAATAATGTATTTGAAAAAACCACCTATTCTGCTTTAGAAAGCAGAGCTAAGGCCAAGGATTGGTGCACAATATAAGAAACAAATGTCTAATAATTTGAGCTGTGCTAAAATGAATCCTGGTGTGGCACTGGATTAGTAGATGCAACGTTGACAGTTCAAACGCACCAGCCACTCATAGAAACCCTATAGAGTCAGTGTGAGTTAGAACCAACTCGACAACACACAGCAACAACACTGTGGACCAGGTGGCCTTGAGAGGTAATGAACTCCCCGTCACCAGCGATATTGATGGGAAGCTGGGTGGTGACATCTCGGGCATGGTGTCTGGGGCCTCATGGAGTCAGAGGGAGTTTAGCCAGAGGACCCTCAAGATTTTCTTGATGCCCCAGTTTAACCCACTGACTACTGCAGGATGGGGTTGTCTTACCCCCTCACTGTCCTATGCTTCTTACTCTCAGGCTTCCATATTCATGACAGCTGAACAGGGGAAACAGAATCAAAGCAGGAAAAGTTCATTTGGTTACATAGTTGTGTTTTAATAGGTGTGAAGTTGTGGGATAACAGACTGTCTTAATTGGAGAGTTGTTTTCTTTGCACTACTCCATACCCTTTCACCAGAGTGCCCAGTGAAACAGAGTTCCAGGGAAGAGAGGGGACGAGCCAGTGGCTTCTCCTGAACACAGCTCTGCCCTCCTCCTCTTTGCTACTCCTAGCCTATGTTTTGAAGCCTTTCCTCTCTCCTGCTCTGAGTCTGTGCTGTCAAGTGGTTGATCTAGAGGAGTGGATGTTGGAGATGCAGAGCCAGGGAGGAGTCATTCAAACCTCTTTAGGGAGGGAAAGAAGCGCCCACGTGGTGCATATGGTCTGCACTTGGCTAATAACCAAAAGATGAGCTATTCAAACTCACCCAGCAGCACCACGGAAAAAGGGTCTGGCGATCTACTTCCGTAAAGATTTCAGCCAAGAAGACCCTAGGGAGCAGTCCTGTTCTCTAACATGTGAGTCAGAATTAACAAGTTAACGAGAGAAAGGAAGTGGAATTAAGCTGACAGACAACAGGAAGCACTAAGTGTACTTCTCCTTTTTAGGCGTTGTCAAAAATAGTACTAGATTCTTCCAGCTGGCATCTGTCTGCCCGGAAGGCTAAGGGGCCTCACTGTACAATGCTAGGGCTGCAATTCACTTAGACTATGGGATAGGCCATGCCCTGGTATCATGTCATGGCTCTGCTAAGGGTGACCCAGGCAACCTCCACAGGTGCCTTCAATGAAAAACCAAACTAGGATCTAAACACTCCCTCAAGGCCTTTTTTATACTCCCACTGCAAATCCAAGAAAGCACCCTAGGGAGAAAGGGAGCCTGGGCCGTAGGATAAATAGGAACACACAGATGACGTACATGACAGTGATTTGCAGAACACTATCCAAATGATTTCCCCCCAACTGGCAGGGCTCTCGTCCTTAGGAGGAGCTGACTCCAGAGAAGCCATGATTGGCACCAGGGAGTAGGAGAAACACAGCTTGGGCTTTGAGAATAAAGTGTGGACCAGGGAGTACCAGAGAGTCAAGTCTCGAGACCCCTCAGGAGAGACAAATGGAATTAAGGAATTTCCCTATCAAAACCTCCCTTGGAAAGTTCTGGAGGCTCTGCAAGTACAATACACAGTGTCCTTCTCTGTGCAAGGCTGCTCTGGATGGTTTGATACCACTGTTCTTAGTCTCATACTCTTTTTTTTTTTTTTTATGTTTTATTGTGAATTGTGTGATAGTCTACATGGGAGAACATCAGCTTTACATTCATTCCATCATCCATCATTTCGTTGGCATAGTTATCATTCTGTCCATGCATCCTCACCCAACCAAGGGGTGTACCCTGTAAACCTGCACCCCCCTCCTACCACAGTCCTCAGCCCCTTTCCATCTCCTGATCCCGAGCCCCCAACCCCACCATCTCTTGACGTTGTCTTCTCTGCCTCCATCCCAGGCCTCACTACCTCTCTGAGTAGGATTCCGCAGAATCATACTCTTTTTGATTGGCAAAGACTTAAAAAGACATAAGCCGCCATTTTTTTCAAATTCCCATTTTGTGAAATTCATATTCATAAGAAAAACCGAAGAATAATGGATATTAGTTTAATTTTGGCTGATAATTTACTTTCCTAACAAAAATTATGCTTTAAAATGCCAAACATGGCAGACAAAAGTATGGAAAACACATATTCAGGAAAAGTTTTGGTTGACAAGATTCATTATCTCAGAATTTTATACTTGCTAAGAAGAACGCATATGTAATACTAGATAATCAAGGGTTCATTGAATTCAGAATATAGAAAATAACAGCAATTATATACTTACTATGTGTCGGGTACTGGTCTCCATTTTACTTGGATATTGACTCTAAGGCCTCCCTAAAGCCCTTTAAGGTAGGTGTGCTGCCATTACCTTAATAAAGGAGGAGTTGAAGCCTAGAGGTTAATTTCAGTTCCACGGGTCCCTCAGCTGTTAGGATGAGAACTCACACAGCCCTGCTAGCACCACTCTGCTGAGCTGCTGACTGGAATGACATTGGATTAAGAATCACTGCCTACTGCCTTTCTGAATTTCCCTATTTAACTTTTAAGGCTGCCTTAATATGGCTCTCCTACAGTGATGATGATGAGGACAATTATGTTCCAATTCAGGTTACCATTAATTTATATACACTGTCCTTTTGGAGTTAATAAAACAGATGAGAAAGCTTTAAAAAAAATAATAAATTGTGATTTGTTCAAGGTCACAAAGTCAGGAAGAAGCAGAGAACAGGACCCATGGTTCCCCTTCTCTCCTGTCCACTACCCACCCAACACACCCATGAAAAGAAAAGTTTCTGTCCTTCCCGCCATGTTGGTGGCCATGCATGTGAGACTCGGGGGAAGAATGTGTCCGATGGACGTCCAGAGTGAGCAGCCTGGAGAAGTAGTAGCCATGTGACCAGGCTGCTGTCCCACACAGCACCTACTTACAGAGGGGAGTTAGTCAGTGGGGGACACTCCAGTGTATGTTCATTGGCAGGGTTGACCCTAAAGGCAGCAAACCTCTTTTTCCATATGGAGTCCTGGTGTGCTGCTGTGGATTCATGGGCCAGACTACAAAGATGTCTGAACTGCAAGGTTGGTGGTTCAAGCTCACCAGTCACTCCTGGGAAACACTACACAGGGTCACTGTGAGTCAGAACCAGTTCAATGGCACTTAATAACAACAGCATACACTTCTGGGAACTAAGTCAAATTACAAAACTTACTAGGAAAGAGAACTGGCTGTTTGCTATGAAGAAAGTTCTTGCTCCAGGCAATTACCAGGCTACCTGACTTTCATTACCTATCTTTAAAAGACATTGTTGTTGTTGTTATTGTTGTTAAGTGCTGTAGAGTCAGTTCTGACCCATAGCGACCCGGTATAGGGTTTCCAAGAAGTGGCTGGTGAGTTGGTGAGTTTGAACCACCAACCTTGTCGTTCAAAACGACTTTGCAGTCCAGCACACTAACCCACAGTGCCACACCAGGGCTCCTTAAAAGAGATAAGTACTGCAAAAAAACACCACTAACAGTCCTTCCTACAGCACTCTGTATTCTACTGTGTTCAATAATTCATTGCAGTGACCACACAGAACTCAGACAGCATACTCATAGGTAAGGGGTTTATTAGGGGAGTTAACAGGTTATAATTCAGGGTCAGAAATGCTCAGGGCCCAGTTCCTCCAGTCAGGACAGACTCTCCTCTGCTGTGAGCACAGGCAGGACGCTCTCTGGCCTTTGGCCTGACCTCTGCTTTTCCTGCTAAAGCAGTGTTCCAAAACTCTTTTAGGGCTACTGATAACTGCTCCTGAGTAAACCAGTCCCCCATAAACCTCAACCTGAAGGCACTTGGCTCTAGTTCCTTGAGTCAGCAAACCTGCTCCCCTAATTAATAACTAGAGGCACCCCACTCTGGAAGCAAGCCTCCTGCCTAATCACTCAACTTTCCTGGCTCCATGGGTTGGGAAGCCACACTCTGCCTCGTGCTCTGCGTCTTGGTTCTGCTGCTGTTGCTCCTCTACTGCTTCTCAGGTGTCACAGCATCGTGTCCTTGGATCTTGGAGTCCAAAGGATGCACTCCACTTCTGGCTTCCTTGTAGGTAGTAAAGTCCCCCTTGCTGCTTCTGAGATGGTTCATTTTATACACGTTAGAGGTCTAAGCTTCGTTAGTTAGCCCTGTTAACAGTCACTCACAACTGAACCATATCATCCATCAGCATCTTCCCCCACCTTCTCTTACCCAGACACAGCAGGAAAAAGTTGTTTGGTGGGAATTTACAAAGACTATGGCTAGAAGAGACATTAAATAATTCACAGGTACTTCATAAGGTAGTACCCACCTTGGGGCTCAGTGCTTTATCCCACAGCACCATACCAGGCCCTAAGAATTAAAATGTTGAGACTTAATTCCTTTTGAAATGAAGACATCTGAACAGTACTTGGCAGTGTTTCTGTCATTTTGGCCAAGCCTGATAATGGTGAGAGTGGTGACAAAAAGCCACCATCTTACATGTGTAGAAGGAGCCCTGGTGGCATAGTGGGTTAAGTATTGGACTGCTAACCAGAAGGTCTGCTGCTTTGAGGGAGAAAACCCATCTGCTGCTTTGAGGGAGAAAGATGAGGGAGTCTTCTTCCTTAAAGATTGACACCCTTGAAAACCTGATAGAGTAGTTGCACTCTGTCGTGTAGGGCTGCTGTGAGTCAGAATTTACTCCTCAGCAATGGGTTTGGTTTTTTGGGAATTACATGCAGATATTGATTGAACAATCACAGAATATTTAGACATTGGTGAAAAACAAGGC